CAGGCTGCCCAGAGGGGCTGTGGAGTCTCCTTCTCTGGAGATCTTCCAAACCCGCCTGGATGCCACCCTGTGCCACATGCTCTAGGTGTCCCTGCGTGTGCAGGGGGGTTGGACTAGATGATCTCTAGAGGTCCCTTCCAATCTTAAGCAGTCTGTGATTCTGTGAAAATCAACGACAAGCATGAAACACCAGCATCAGCACAAAGACACCTCTTACCTGGGCTTTCTTGCCTTCCTGCTCCTTTTTTTCCAATTGGGTTTGCAGTTTCTTCCTCTCCTGCTCGCGTTCTCTTACTCGCTTCTGCAGCTTGAGGAAGAGCATTGTGTCCATGGCTGCTTTCTCCATCCCAGCCTCCTGGAGCAGGGGAAAAAAAAAAGAGGGAAGACCTCAGTGGAGTTTCACAACCACACAACCACATGCAAAACCCGGTAGACACTTCTCTACCACCCATATCCAAAACATTTTTGCAACCCCCAGCTCCAGGAGGAGCTTGTGCTGCAGGCACTGAAGCACTTTCATTGGGCCACTTTACACTGATCTGCTGCAAGTGACTTTTCATTGTAACATCACCAAACCAAACAGCAGATGACGGTTCGGATCCCACCTCTGCAAGCTACATAAATTTGTTAGAGGCTCCAAATCTCGACCAGGCATTTATTTATTTTTTAATTGGCACTTTTAATATCTAAAGCAAAGTATAGTCCTGCCAGGGGGAGGGCAGACCCAAGGAACACTCATCCTCCATCCATACGATGCATGAGCTCAAATTCATGAAAACAGAGTCCAAAAAGGAGCCTATCCACATGTAAGCATCATCACTCTCCTTTTGCCCAGGGTTTCTCGATTAATTATTCTTGACAGGATGTCCTTCACCAGCATTGAGGGACTGTTGATTATAGTGACTGCACTGGCCAGCAAAGTATTCGTAAAAATGGACTGGAATGAAAAAGCTCGGGGCAAGAGGCAACGGACTCTATAACCCTGCTGGAGGACACTCACTATATAGATATTGTCATCAGTGCTACTAATAACTGCAACAACACTTGCAGCTTGGGCACATCTTCATAATCCTTTAAGCTGGCCCAGGCACAACGCAGCACTTTATTATTTTTTGAGCCCTATTTAAACCTGGCCCAACAAGTAAGTAAGCGCTACAACACCACCGCCTTGCAATTGCTTGCAAGCAATTAGCAGGATATTTCTGCAGCACAAAAGCCAATTTTCCCCAGGGAAATGCCAGGCTCCATCCCACGTGGACTCCCTGCAGAGCAAGACCTGAGGTGCTCAGTCCCCAAAATGGGGAGTGAGCTGTCCAAGTCACCCTACCTCCACTTGCTGGATCACATCCTCGGTGTCCCCGAGCTCAGAGGTCGATATCGATGGGTAATTGGAGTCAGACTCCAAGCTGCTTTGGTTGGACGGCTTTCTCCTGTGGCCTGGAGATTGCTGTCAAAGGGATGCAGACACATCAGTGCTTTAAGGAAGGGAATACCTTAAACCAAAATCCTTCAAAATGAAATGTAAAACAATGCAGAAGCTTTGTTTAAATATTACTCCACATGAATTAAAGATTGCTCGGGACACCAGATGCCGGTGCAGTGTAAAGGTGCAAACCTATGCTCATGATTTCTGCTCCCTACAGTGCCCTAAGGGACTTCCTCCAAACAGCCTTCCAGCTAATCAGCGACCTTCTCTAATTATCCCATTGCTTCCAACACTTCAAAACTAAAATTTTAGCAAAGCTGAAAGGAAAAACTTAGGCTTCTGAAATCTGGAAGATTTTCTTTTAATTCAATATCTACTTGACATGTCAGCATCACTGACACCAACAAATTAAAAAACAAACAAACAAAAAAACCCAAAAAACTACAAGCCAGATTTTACCAAGATGAATGGAAACCTCTATGTTGCAAGCAATGAGGAGGCTGGGAATATCAGCATCCTTCTTCCAGAAATGCACGTGCTCTGCCTTCAACCTAGACCTTCAGTCTACAGTGCCAAATAATGTCAGTTCGGCCAAGTGTTTAGGGAGTTATCCCACGTTATGACCACGTTATCCCATGGTCAACATTGTGACCCGGACAAAATAAAACAAGGCTAATTTCAGGATTTCTGTTATCTTTATAATAGTAATCTCATCCCTCAGGTTGTCATATCTGTGCTCCAGCCTCGAATACTCTTTCAGGATTCAACGAGGAGGAGGCAG